TGTTTTCATTGAAATTTCTGAAGCCCTATACTTTTATCTCATCCATAAAGCCAGCTTCTCAAAGACCACCATCAACTTACTAAGGTCAAAGAAGGCACGAAAGTGTGATCTCAAAGGAGGTAATAAGCATGAATGGGGCAGAAGAATCAAAATCGGTCATTCTCATTTAAAAACCCCCAAATCTAACTTATTAAAGAAAAATAAAGTCCTACTATGTCCCAGGCCCGTGAATTACCTTGTCTTTGTATCCCTACCATTTAGTATTTTGTGAAGCATGGAATCATAATAATTTTTTTCAATATTGAATGAATATACTAATTACAGGATACAGAACACTGTCTTTTAAAATAATTATATGAAAGAACACTCTGCTGAAATGTCACCTAATAAAGCACAGAAGGTATCATAGCTATTGATGTAACCTGGAACGTAATGGCTTTATTTATTTAAATGACTATTACAACCAGGAGGTATATTTACAAAGAATTTACCATTAGATCAGGTCACATGAGGGTTATAATTGTGACTTATTCTAAGAGAAGAAAAATCAGGAAATTAAGCAGTTCCTTAAGAAATGCACTTTCATGCCAATCACATACATCAGCTGGCCACACTGAATTTGACTATATTAAAGTACCAATAATTTTGTCTAATTGCGAAGGGCTCTGTAGCTTTTTAAGTTCTGCTAATCATGTTCCTGCTCTATCTGTGGCTTCTGCTTTCATTTTCCCACCTCACAGGCAGTGGTGGTATTTTTGTTCCATGCGTCCGATTACTTGTTGGTATCGAACTCTGGAAGAACATTTCATGTTAATGCCTAATCGTTCTGCCACAGAGATCGCAGATTACACTGTGATGTTCCTACAGGAAGTTTTGATACTGAAAGACTTTGACTAAAGACTTGAGGCTGATATAACAGACCAGTAACTGTGTGAGACAACAGATTGATACACCCCTGTAACAAGAATAGAGGCACAAAGGAGACAATCAGTGGAGTACTTGTATTACATCCATGTCCACTGAGCATTTGGTCTCTCTGGAATTGCCTGATACACAAATTAAATTCTGCATGGATAGGCTAGCAAAGGCAACTGTTTTACCTTAAATGCTCATACTGATGGATTATAAGTGGCTTCATGGGTAACTGGTCTTGGTCTAGGCAAAGATAATGAGGACCTGAGCTAGGGAAACAGAAGTGTAAGTGTAAAGGACAGATCATAGCAGGATAATCAAGGGGACAGTGGTAAGTTTAATTTGACAGAAAAGAAAGAAAAAAATTTGGAAGGGCAAATGTGATGGATGCCATGTTTTGTCATACCAGATGCATTGTCTACTCCTTCCCACCATACTTTCTGCCTTGGGAGGCCACAGTGGTCTCCCTTGCTCCCTGGGTTTAGCAGTGACAGCCAGGGCAGGCCATCAGAAGGAAGCGACAGACCAAAGGATTGATTCCCTCACCTGTATCCCTGTGAGGTTACCTCAAGATGGCCAAACCCCTCACTCTAAGGTCACAGTACCTCTCAAGACACCACTCTCTACCCTTCTCTCTTCTTCTGGGTTCCAGCAATCACACCCTTTCCATATTCTTTGGGCCACGGATAGTAACAACCCCACTGTAACTAGCACTGGGACACTACATCCTCCCCGTGGTTTCCCTAAACCTAGTCTCATCTTTGTAAAAATGCCTTTATTAAACCCCTCAAATTATTCTAATTTGAATGTATCATTTTCTTCCTGCTGGGACTCATTTGCTACATCAAATACGATTTTAAGATTTTGATCTTGGGTGGCTGTGAAGATAGGTGATATTATTAGCTGAGATAATGAATATAGGAAGACAAGTAGGTTCAAATGTGGGAAGAAAAACATGTTGAATTTGCTATATGACAACTGTGGATCACCCACAGAGAGAGGTTGGCAGCAGCTGCACAAGTAGACCTAGCATAAAGATGTAGATAATGATTAATTTTTGGAAATGCGTAAGTCCTGATCATTACCATAAACACTAGTTTAACATAAAGAATTTCTTTAATATAATTCTAATTATACAATACTAGAGCTTTGAAGGATGTTAAATTTCATCTAGCTGAGCTCTCCTTTTATGGTGGGGGTAAGACCACAGCTAGCTAGCAAAGAGCACACAGTTAATGGCAGCGCTGACACTAGAATCTCTGGCTCTGGATTCCTTCATCTGGGCTCTTTTCACCAAATACAGCATTTATCTCTACTTGACTGGTTTTCAGTAGTCAACAAATATTGAGAGCCTAGTCTACATCCAGCCTTGTGTTAATTGATGGGAGGAACAAAATAGAAGTACAACAGGTTTTCAGCAGTTTACAGTCTTAATTGACTACCAACTCATACAAATGTTTATAAATGAGAGTACAAAAGAGAAATGACTGTGCAAGCCAAAGGAGAATAGGACATTTTGTATGACAAGGGCACTGTCATCTAGTATTATTTTGAGATTTTAGAGGTTTCATGTGAATTGTTGTGAGTGAGGAAGTAATAACAGGCTTAATTATTGTCACAGCAATCAAGGACTCTCTAATGTACTGTGTTTAAGCATATACATTTTAATTGTAGAATATAGTATGTACTTGTAAGAATCTATAAACCTATCTGCTCCTATTGAGACCATTCTTCCAGATGACAGTGTAAATGAAAACATATTTTGGCAAACGTGCAAGAAATAACATGTTCTTATTATTTATGTATGTATGTGTGAACTTATGTATGTATTCTTACTATTTAGTTGTACAGGTGATGTGAGTAAGGGGGATGAAAGTCGGAAAGACCACACACTTAAGCATTGCTCCTTAGAAATCACATATACTTTCTCCTCCATGTTAATTGTATGATTTGGTATATACAGTTCAAAACTATGCTGAGAACCTTCTTAACAGGAGTTGTAACTAGAATGTTATCATTATTCCATTTTCACGAACTCATGATTTTCTCAACAGCATTTATCTACAGCTGAGAAATTACTTGCTTGGGCTCTTATAATGGAAATGTTTTTTTAAGTCTAAACAGCTATTATCAATATGGGAATTATTGCTGGGGAAAAAAAGTGATGTCTACAAACAGTTAAAACGATCTCTTCTCCTAAGGTTTAGGTTAGTTTACTTTGCTAATTACAACTTAGAAGTGCTTCACAAATTTTCCACTTTTCCACCTACTATGCCTACATAATATCAGACTTTAGCAAGTGGGTGATGATTCCCAAAGTGTAAGACAAAAAAGACATCCAATGAATTAATAATTAAGAAGGACAAGAAGAAATCATCCTAAAAGACCTTTACCCAGGAATCTGTTCTATAGGAGACTTACACCATTGGAGAGGTAAGTCAAGTGTGTGAAAGTGTTACAAGCTGAAGTGTCTTCAGGGACAGGCAGTTGATCTGAATGTGTGAAGTATACAAATCTTAGACAATAGAGAGTTGTTAGTACAATAACTCACTGCAGGGTACATGTTCCCTAAGGCCTCAAGTGTGTGTGTTTCCATGCATACCATGGGCTAAACAAGAATGGCTGGGAGGCTGAATTTGGCCTGTGGACCACCAGTTTGTCGTGTCCATTTTAGGAAGACTAAATTGAATGCTTTTTTTTACATTTCACTTTGTGGAAAGTTTTCATTTCTTGGGCCAGCTAGTTTGGGACATCTCGTTATTGCTGTGGTCTGAATGCGTGTCCCTCAAAAATCTGTAAGTTGAAATCCTAACTCCCAAAGAATAAGGTATTAGGAGGTGGGGACTTAGGAAGATGCTTAGGTCATGAGGGTGAAGACTTTATGAATGGGATTAGTGTTTTTATAAGAGACACCAAGAGATCCTTAGTCTGTCTGCCATATGAGGACACAGTGAGAAGGCAATGGCTATGAACCAGGAAGAGGGTCTTCACCAAACTATGTTGGTGCCTGATCTTGAACTTCCCAGAGTCCAGAACTGGGAAAACTTCTGTTGTTTATAAGCTCCCCAGTCCATGGTATTCTGTTGTAGTAGTCCAAACAGACTAAGACAATTATCAACCCTACCCTTTATTTTCAATTTTATAAGAAGACTCTGAGTCAAAAATCACCCTAGGTGAAAGTGATATATTAACTTTAAATCTCATTTCCTAGGAATTAAAAAAAAGAACTCCATCAACTGCATCTCATGTCTTCTAAAGTTCTACTCTTTTTACACAAAACACGAGAGAGCTCATGAGATTCCAGCTATAAAGAGTAGTTCACTGATAAAAATCACGTATTATCAAGCTTAACTAAGAATTATTGACATCTAAACACTGAGAATTGAACTGTAAAGCAAAGGATTATCTTAGTTTCAATCTGCAGGTAAAAAACCAAAATGCCATTAACTAAATGCTGGTCTTATTGTGTAGCCTTCCAAGGAATGAACCACAGTTTTAACTTTAAGTTCACCCAAGCATATTAAGGGGAGACAGGATGTCTGCACAACCCAGCTCAATTATCTACTTTCCACACAACAGTCATCATTATGAGAAGGAAAGTTTGGCTCAGATAACACTCATATCTTGTACCAATCTGTGTGACAACACAGTTTAAGTTTACTCCCGTCGCCCATAATTCAACTACTAAATTACTCACATGGACAGCTGATGAGCAAGAAATTCCACAACATCAAAATTGAATGATTAATATGAAAAGAGTTTTTGCTCATGTACTTAAACACTATGGATTTAAAAGATATTTTCTTAACTCGTGCATTTTTAGAATACGCCGCACTAGTCAGAATTATGACAGTCAGAATTTACAACAGAATTATGCAAACAAAATTCTTGTAAGGTTTTTCAAAGCTGGACTACAATTACGTTAAAAATACGTATGCATATGGACAAAGACTAGGAAGCAATTTTTTTAAATGCACACAATTATATTGGAAAGGTTGAACTGCAGGTGACTTCTTCCTTTCATAAAATTATATTATTGCTGATACAGCGTAAATGCAATGAAAATTATTTAAAGTGCAAGTACTTACTGTGGTTGGAAAATAACGGCTAGTTTTGAATTTTTTCAGAGCCATAGAAGAGGTGTAGGTGCCCAAGAAGAGGATGAAAGACATGAGTGTGATATCAGGAACAAAATCACAGTTGTTCCCCAGGAGCTTTCCTCCATATTTCATACAGTCCTTCTTCGACAAAATTGCCCAGTCAAATGTGGCATTATGGTACTGAAAAAGAAAAACATTAAAATTCTTCTAGAAAACACAGATATATCAAAAGCAGCTTTTGATACTTGATGGGCTATATAGGGATTATGCTAAAAGTTTTTGTAAAACACTCTGAGGGTAAACACTGCAGTGTGAAACCTGATGAGGTGTTAATGGAATAACAGGTAAGGAGGATATAGAGGCTAGCAATTATTGAAAATACAATGAGAATGATGCAGTCTGTTATCTGGTTTGAGGTACAGCTCTACAATCACCCACTTGTTCAACAGAAACAAACCACAAAGTCCTTCTTTCCTGTCAATCTTCCTGAATGTAAACTGAGACACAATAACACCCTAATCTCAATATTTGAGACTCTCTGAAACACCACTGTTGTTGAAAAAGTACTTACTTTTGTAGTTTGCAGCTTCTTGTGCTTCAAGCTGAGGACCCATGGTTGATGGTCTAAAACTTATATTAGGTTAAATACTCATTTACCCAGCACTTCCACAAACAAGGTATTTCTTTTCTAAATAACTAGAGATTGGTAACTTAAGGAATCAAACTATAAAAAATGTCGATAGTCCCTGCTTTTTCAATTGCATATACCAACAAAATATAGCACTTTTTTCTTGTTGACTCCAGGTCTGCATCATGAGCATCCATTATTAGAAAGTGCAGTAACGGGCTGTGGAGCTGTGTACGGGATATCATTCCCCTATGTTACATGGCCTCAAACAGTAGGTCAATTTTCCAATTTTCTTGCATCTCATGAATTGTTGTCACATTGTCAGTGCGGTACCTTTCCAAAGCAGCTCATTCCTATTGCTTTTTTCTGTTTCTACTATGCAGGAGAATCCTTTTGCTAGCATAGTGACCAGGCCAGTGCACTCATTTTTCAGCTGCTCTGAGTTTCAGCTGTGATCAGCTCATAGCTGCCTTCAGCCACATAAGAACTACCTCACCTGGAATGTTATGCCCTCTTGCAGCTAATTACTGACCAACACCAATGGAGTGCTATTAACTGAATATATGGGCTCCCCTAAAATGCATATATTCAAGCCGTATCCCCTATATGATAGTATTTGCAGGTGGGGCCCTTGGGAGATAATTAGGTCATGAAGGTGGAGCCTTCATGAATAGGATTAGAGTTCTTATAAAAGAGATCCAGAGAGCTACCTTGCCTCTGCCATCATATGGGGACACAATGAGAAGAGGCTGTCTATGAACCAGGAAGCTGGTCCCGACCAGATACTGAATCGGCCAGCACCATGATGTTGGACTTCCTTTGGGTCCAGGGCTAATGGGTATATGATGTGCTAATGGAAGCGTTATTGGAAAATACCTTACAAATAAATGTGGAAAGGTGAATTTCTCCTGTTCTTAGAGGCAAGAGTTCTACCTCAAACCAAGCATTATCAATATCCTTTACTATTCAATGAATTCTCTTGATATGAGTGATCTAGTCATCAAAGTTCACACACATAAAAGAAGAATCTCTGGCCAGACAGAGTTCTATATTTTTATAGAGCTCAAAATGTAAAGTGCTCACACCCTTTTTTACAATAAAAAAATAAACTCTAGATTATTCCCTGAAATATTTTTCTATATTAGCTTCAACTTGTAAACAGCTGAATTGCATAATTATTCTTTTCTGAAACTCTGCTTATGAGAGGTGATTAATCATATCTCATTTTGTTTTTCAGATTTCTGTATATGGATGTTTTTAGCAGAATATATTTAAAGTTTAGAGGGCATAATAGGTAACAGATTTCCTTGTTTTAAAATCAGCAAAAATTTACCATAATTTCACTTCAGCACTTTAATATCACCAGAATCCTTTTTTATAGCTAGAGCTCCCCAAAAGAGTAAGCTGCATTAAAACAATCTCAATAGCAGGATGGGGGAAAGAGGCAGAGTGGATAAATGCAGCGTCCCATGAAAAAACTAAAATTACAACTAAATTACAGAATAAGCAACCTGGAGAACCATCAGAAGTTCAGCTGAATGGAAACCCTATAATTACAGATATAAAGAAGCCACATTGAGACTTGTAGGAGGGGGCAGAGATGTGAAGTGGGCCAGTGTCACACCTGTGTGTGGAGGTTGAGAATCAAGAGGGGTATCTCAGCCACAGAAATAACCCCTCAGAGGAGCAAGGACCCCAGCCACACACTGGGATTCCCAGCCCAGAGTACCCATGCTGGAGCCCCCACAACCTCCAGCTGTGAAAAACAGTGGGGATTCCGACCTTCCAGGTGTGACGGAAGGCTGCGGGAAACCCAGATGTCCTCTTTAAGGGCCTATGCACACATTCAGTCTCTCCCAGGCACTCATGCTGGGCTCCACCTAGAGATGGCAACTCGGGAGGCTCAGAGACATACAAGGAGAGAATGAGTAGTATGGCTGCAGGACAAGGGCTGGAGGGACAGTCACCATTTTCCCTGTGTAGAACCCTTCTCCCAAGATCTGGTAGGTGGGCAACATCTTTCCTGTGTTGAGCCCTCCCCTCACACAGCCAAATCTGAATCTGCGTTAACCTGGTGAACTCTGCTCACTCCACCCCGGTGACTCCTTGGTACCCTGCCCCACCCAACTCATGTACCACTGGAGGCACTTTCCACAACCTGCAGCCAGCCCTGCCCTATACACCAAAACAGGCTCTTTCGGTAGAAAACAGCTGGCCTCAATTCATGAGCCACTGGAGACACTTTCGAGGTTGGCAGCCAGCCCCGGCCTGTGCTAGTCTTTCTTGGACAACTCTCAGAGGTCAGTGGTCCCCAGGCACACGGCAAATGGTCTTGATGTGCTCTGAGACTTTTGCTGAGTAGCTCCAGGCTCAGCACTGGTACCAAACCAGAATCTACACTAACCTTGTGAACATCACTTGCTCCACCATAGTGACTCCTTATAACCCCATGTTGCCCAACTCTCCTACTTCATGAGGTTCTATCAGCAGCTGAGACTTATGGGCAGCTGACAAGCGGCAGGAGGTCTCATGATGCCCTGGGATTTTTGGGAGCTACCCCAGGTCCAGTACTGGTGGCAGCTGTCCTCAGTTCTCAGCATGGCCTCTCTCACATGCTTCCAGGTCCAGCACAGGCAGCAACCAACAGCGGATCACTTTGTAGCTCCTACCAGGTATTCCTGGGCTGATCACAGGCAGTAGCTGACCTGGACCTGCATAGGAGTCCCTCCCAAGAGGCCCCAGAATCAACATAGATGAAGGTTGGCTTCAAACTGCAGCACAGCAACACCCAATTAGCCCTACAAGTGGCATATACAAAGGGTAGTCTCAGCAGGCACCAGAACCCACTGGAACAAATCCCATTCTATGGGCCAAGCCCCCTGAACATCAGCCTGTAAGCTGTGGACATGGCTAAACCCCACAGCCAGTCAGCCTGAGAGTCAGTCCCATCCACTGATATGCTAACAGCAATCAAGGCTCAGCTACAATAGGAAGGCACACACAACTCACAAAAGGGACATTCCTAGAGCACTGGCACAGGTGATCAGAGAGACAGCACCACTGGCCCCCACAAAGCACCCATTATGTAAAGCCAACCAGCAAAGACTGGGAGATATAGGATATCTACTTAATATGTAAAAACAAACACAGAGAGGCAGCCAAAATGAGGAAACAAAGAAATATTCCCAAATGAAAGAACAGGAGAAAACTCCAGGAAAAGAACTAAATGAAACGGAGGTAAGCAACCTACAAGCCACAGGGTTCAAAACGGTTATAAGGATGCTCAAGGAATTTAGTGAAAACTTCCACAAATAGATGGCAAGTGTAAAAAAGGTCATAGAAACCATAAAAACAACCACCCAGAAATGAAAATACCATAACTGAAATTAAGAAGTAATCACCAGCAGATTAAATGAAGCAGAGGAACAAATCAGCAATATGGAAGACAAAGTACAAGGTGTGCCCAAACAATATGGTGAATGCTTAAATTTAAAAAATAAAAATTATTACAGTTAAAGACACATTGCCATTATTCTTCCTTAAAATATTCCCCCTTGCTTCAAACACACTTATCCCATTGTCCTTGCCACTTTCTGAAGCAGTTCTGGAAGTCCTCTTTCGTGAGTGTCTTTAGTTGTGCTGTCATGGCTGCCTCGATATCCTGAATCATACTTTTTTTTAAGGTTTTTTTATTGGGGAATTGGGGGAGAACTGCATTGGGGAATCAGGGTAGGGGAACAGACAAGTGGCTGTCCTTTTGTTCTTCAGTCTAGTTGTGGAGGACGTCACTTCACTGGCCCATGTTGGTATTATCATTGCACTCTTCCCAGGTGAGGCAGATCAGTTGCCAGTTTCTGGACAGCTGCTCACGGTGACTCTTGACAGCTCATGAAAGTTCATGCCAGCTGCTGGCCAGCCCCACTACAGCCTACACTGTCGCCGGCGACTCACCGCAGCCGAGTTCCAGATCGAGCTGTTGTTCACCATCTTAGTTGTAGAGGGCGCAGTGTCACTGGCCTTCATGTAGGATCCAAACTGGGGCCCCGCTGCTCAGAGCTGGCGTCCCAGCCCAAATCTTAACCAACGCGCCACTAAGCCAGCCCCTGAATCATTCTGACATTGGGAAAGAATCAGAAGTCACACGGTGCCAGATCCAACTAATAAGGTGTATGAGGACAAACCGTAATGTTTTTATTTGACAGAAATTGCCATATACCAGAAGCAATGTGTGACACAGAGCATTGTCATGATGGAAGATGATTTATGGCACACTTGAAACCTTCTGTCAATAGTGGCTCACACTCGACTGATTGCACTGAACAAGCTGAAACTTGTCACACACTGTTACTAAGGTTCAATGCACTGCTTCCCATATTGAATATTCCTGCTTTTCCATTGGATAGCACTTGGCAGCAGCATTCACCGTATTGTTTGATCACAACAGAAAGGCTCTGCATCACACATGGCTTCTGGTATACGGCAATTTCTGTCAAATAAAAATATTATGGTTTGTCCTCATACACCTTATTCATTGGATCTGACACTGTGAGAC